GTTATGACTATAGTGCCCCTTTACTCTCTCCAGGAAATTATGTATATAACTTTGTAGGTGGTAAGGAAGATAAGGGTGGGCAATGTATTACTTTGGTCTAGGAGACTGGACAATAAGAGTTTATCTCATCCTCAAGTTGCGCACTACCATGAGGCTTTGTTTTAATGGTATCACCGGGCATGTCTCAAAGTAGTGAAATAAGATGGTAATAAACTAGCTTATGTTGCTTCTAATTTAGCTCCTTCATGTAAAAAAGGACTATATTGCAGGCCAACTAATGCACAAAGGTTAATATGGTGTTCTGTAAAACCCAAATGTCCTTTGTGCAGTATGTAAGGTAAAGATTGTGTCAAAGTGAAAAGATAGGTTGGCAGGTGCTTTCCTTTTGATAGATAGACTGGAACTTGTAGAGTATAGGGTGTGGGTGAGTACATTTTTACTCTGGACTAAGGGACTTTTTTTATATCTATTGGCTTTCGGATTAGTGCACTGAGCTTCTTCTGGTAAATACATTGTGGATTGAGGCTCTGTGTCCTCTCAGTGATATTTTCCTCTTGACACGAGGAATTAAATTCCCCATGTTAGTCCATAAGATGTAAAACTTCAAAAAAATGTGCATCCAAAAATAATAATTTTTCATTTTTTCATTATGTATGAGGAATTAAAAAAAAAATATCAAAACTTGAAGCAATTAAACAGAAGTCCAGAAAAAGATTAGATAACATGATCATTGCACAGGAGTTTATGGACAATGTTTGTTTCTTTCTCTTCTGCCTGTAAGAAAGTTTACATAAGTCTGGATATGTCCACATAGACCCTGCTAACTTTGATACAAATATATACATTCTTCTTAGTCAACTTTTTTTTCAATGAATGAGGGTGGGTAAACACTTCTTTGTGTACTTTGGTGAGTGCTGAATGGATCTCATTAACCCTCTTGTGCAAAGATCAATGTAAATTGCAATCTTTACCTAACAAAAAGCATAAGGATGAGGCGTTGTAAAACTATTTCATCTGCTGCCTTTGCAAGCCCTCCCCTTCTAACCCCACCCAGACATTATGTGACTGTCCAATCACAGACTTCCCAAATCAGCTCAATGAGAAGTCTTTGAAATGCAGGTGCTCTGGGCAATTGCTTCCTCTTGAATTCAGTGCGAATAAGCTAGCTAAACCAGGAATTAACAGGAGTTGTTGTCTGATTGAAAAGCCAGGGGTGTAACAAGTATAATTTATAAAAGTGTCAATTTCTATTGAAATCTGCACTATTTAAACGAAAACATACTCTTCACATATAAAGCTTTTAAACAAGCTAAAGTGCTTTAGGGGTCTGGAGTGTCTCTTTAATTGTATTTTTTGGATATGGGTCTTTTGCTAAAAATGCAGCCATTTGTTTTACATTCTGTTGTGATTTTCTGTAAGCTGTACTGCTAGTAAAGCCTTCCAAATGCTTAGAAGCAAGGTGTTTGACCATTTTTATTTATATCTACTGTTTGTAAGGAAAAAAAAAGTGGTTGCAATTATACTACCAGACCCTGTGTGAAGTCGAAAAATCAACCTGTTTTAATGCTGTTTTACTATAGGTTTTTGTATATGCATCCCTTTAATAATTAAATGTAATGTTATTTTTATTGAAGCAAAGAGAATTAAACATAAAAGACAAAATTAACAGAATTTGTGAGCCATGCATGAACAATAAAACAGTCACAATATCCTGCATGGAGGATAAATCTTTAGAAATGTAATAGAAACTAAGCAATCAAATATTCATAATATAAGGTATGGACTACAGATATATGGATAAAGTAATCACATATGTGAATATGACCAATAGCCAAGGATTTTGATCTCACTCTCCTTATTTATTTATTTTTTTTACAAAATGTGCTGTATTATAAACTTAAATTACATCTAAACCATTCTATTTAAAGAAGAAAAGAAAAGATGTCAAGAAGATACCAAATAGAAGGAATCAAAAACTGGAGAAAATGAAGTATAGATATAGTAACTGAATAAGTGATAAAGCATGATAGGGTATAGGCTAGAAGTATTAGTAGAGAGAAAGTAAGAGGCAAAGATCAATTGTGAGAAGGTAATGGGCTTAAGATCATTAAACATAAAATAAACAAATAAATGAATAAATAAATAACATAAAATAAAACATATTTCAGATGCAGAAAACAGGTACATTCATTCACATACATTCTTATTCTCGCTGGGCAGGGTCAGTGCACACACTAAATAAGGTTAGGCTTGTCATGTGAAGTCAACTGATTTTGTAACATTGGTTTAGATGAGGAAATCAATGTTTTTCAAACTTTTCTAAACCAATCTACAACACCAGAATCGGGAATTATCATTTACTTTCTATTTGCTTGAAGACATGATGGCTGAATTTCCCTGCTACAAATAAAAAAAAGTAAACATTAGGTTTAAATAACCAAATTTGACTTTTTTTATAATATCATTTTATTAGCATGTAATGCGTTTTACAAATTAAAAAAAAAAAAAAAATACACTTGCATACAATAACAAGATGCTTGACATTATACAATAAATAATATACAACCAGCAGTGCAATGCAAGGTTAAACATAACAAAAGTTGGCTATTTTATGCAGAGGGTTGCAAGGCTCTCACATGGTAATATATGGTGCCCATTTAGCATAGTGATGAAGTTATTCATAATCTACTAAAATCAAGTAGACAACTGCATAAACAAAAGAGCCAAATTAAAACCATAAGAAGCATAAGGAAACCTGGGTGCACTGTATATATCTACTATATCTACTACTCTGAGCTCGCTACTCCACACTGATAACATCTGTATCTCCAGGTAGATCTTAAACCAAATCAAAGTCTAGAGTGAAGACTATATGTTAACTTCCTAGGGCAAAGAGGGCTGTGTGATTTTTTAGGAACCATCTTATAAATTTTACTAAGCCTATCTGGGGCGCGATAACAATAAAGAAGCAATTTACGATGGACCTCCAAATGAAAAAAACACCAGGTCATTCCCTTCGTAGCATTCAGAAGTTGGATCCACCTATTCAGTGATATTTCCCTCTCACTTTCCTTTTCCCACTGGGACATAAAGGCTAGTGATTGAGATGTAGAATGACATGACTGTGCTCTATTCCATAGGAAAAGCAGTGTGAGCTGTAAAGGTGCGTCCCAAGATGTTGCAACTAGCTCTTGTAGGTCTGTCGTGACCAGTGGTCCACCTTCCCCAGTAATTTTAACATGTTCCCCTTTTACAATTTTTATTTGTAGGACAGAAATGTTAACTTTGATGGTAAATTATGAGAACTCTGAAGATCTGCAAATAGAACGAGGGATCCCACTGACAAAAACTGTGAACATTTTGTGCTGCCCATTTTTTCCCAGGGGGCTATGGACATCCATGGAGATATTGTTGACTGGACAGCTAACTGAGCCAACTTATGAAATTTAGTTGGATTGCGCAGTTTGGCAAATAATGTATCCCATGAAATAATAAATACAATGGTAGCAGAGAGCAAAATTCCTGTTGTGTAATGATGGTGGGGACCACATGCATGCTAGGATCGAATCACCCAGTGTCTGGGACTGTTTCATGCACCCAAATCTCCCTTTGTGGGCATGTAAGTTTATGGCATGCGCTAAAATTGCAGTTCTCAAGTAAGTGAATACTTGGGAGATCCCCAAACCTCCCATAGCCATTGGTCATTGCAGTCATACACACAGTTAAAGTCACACAGACAGTTACAGTCACACACAGGCAGACAGTCACAAACAGTTACAGTCACATACACACAGGCAGGCAGTCTCACGCACACAGGCAGACAGCCACACACAGTTATAGTCACACACACAGTTACAGTCACACACACAGGCAGACAGTCACACACAGACAGGTAGACAGTCACACATACTGGCAGACAGTCACACACACACACACACACACACAGGTACACAGACAGTCACATACACACTGGCAGTCAGTCACACACACAGTTGCAGTCACACACACAGTTACAGTCACACACACAGTTACAACCACACAAACATAGTTACAGTCACACACACAGTTACAGTCACATACACAGGCAGACAGTTGCAGTCATACAAAGACAGACGGTCACAGACACAGGCAGGCAGGCAGTTACACACACAGTTGCAGTAACACACAGTTGCAGTCACACACAGGCATTCCATCACACACACACACACACACACACAGGCAGACAGTCTGTCAGGATTTCTCCATATTGTCTCTGAATTTTTCCATGTTGATTTCAGCCCAATCGGCATTACCCGAATGACTTCTGGGTTTCGCTGATCAGTTCAAAATGAAGCTGCGAATGTATTCAAAGTGCTCAACCAATGTGTTTGTCTTTGATGTGCTCTCTCATACTTGCTGCTTTATTGCCGATTTACCGAGGAAGCTTCCTAATTGATTTCCTGTGTACCGAACCTCTCTACTCTTCACTGCCTGACTTGGAACAGACTTCACCTCAGATTACTGCCTTTCTCCACATACCACAGGGAATTATAATCCATACTATCCTGGAAGGATTCTCATGCTCATACTAGAAAACTGATGAGAAGGTGTAATTAATGTTAAACAATAAAATGGGCTACAACATATTACTACAAGCGACCTAAAATGAGTGTAAGCTCAAAAAGTATAGAAAAATATGTGCGCTCCTAAAATACTAAAGAAACACTTAAAGTACAAATATATATTTAATAGATAAAAAAATCTACAAATCAATCATAACAATAAATAAAAAAGAAACCATATATAAGAGCATGACTGAATAGATCTGTTGCTGAAAGGTACTTGACAAAATAAAATATCAATGAATGAACAAATCCTGACAAATAATGAAGCCAGAGTAAGCACCTGACAGATACTAAGGCTACAATGTATGGAAACAAAGTATCTGGAGGGATAACAAAAGCTAACAAAAAAATTACAAATGAAATGAGCATCAAATAAACAAGATAAAAGTACCTTGCCTCGGTGGGGGCCCCCACCGAGGTATAAATCAAGGGAGATAGTAGTGGCCAAAAGACAGGGATCCGTCGAAATAGGACAAATAGATGTTGCACCGCGGTCGGGATCTTCAAAAAAGACCGCGGTGTAAATGGAAGGCAGATGAAACACAGACCACCAGTGGGACAGAAACTCACCCACAAACTGAATATAGCGTATTACACCGCGGTCGGTGTCTTCAAAAAAGACCGCGGTGTGAGAGACCAACTCCCGACAGATACCGGCAAACACTACAGCTCCCCACAGCAACAGAGCAGAATATCACGTAATCAGCTGTGACTCGTCGACGCGTTTCGTCCCGCCCACGGGACTTTCTCAAGACAAAGTAATTGCCACAGATCAAACATTAAATAGCCCAGGCATGACCTAATTAACATAAATAAAAGGTAAACCCTGGACTGGATCCATAAAAAACTTTCATCAACAACAATAATAACATGTTAAAAGAAAAACTTTTTATTTCATAATAATGTATATAATTTTAGTTAGACCACCATAAAAAATGAATATGTAAAACTGAAAAATAATAATAAGAAATAATAAATATTAAACATTAGAAAGAAAAAACACAGAATGTTTTTTATTAAAAACATATACAAAGTAAACCCCAAAAATAACATAAAAATGCAGACACTATCATAAAGTGTATTATAACATAAAACAAAACAAAAATAAAAAATATATTTAGAATAAATCTAGCTCTTCATTCAAACCGTTAGGTGTCATAGTATTTAGCTTAAAAGTCCACATGGACTCAGACTTTATTAGTTCCCTTTTTTCTTACTGCTCCATCCTGGTGTGGAGGAATATGTGTTAACCCCATTAACTTAAGACCTGAGGGATTCTTTTCATGGTACATAGCAAAATGTCGGGCTACTGACGACTTAATATTATAATGAATTATAGCCGTTCTATGTTCTCGGAACCTGCACTTCAAAGGCCTAGTGGTTTGGCCCACATATTGTCGATCACACGGGCAGATTAGGAGGTACACTACAAATGAAGTGTTACAGGTAATTTCAGATTGCACTGAAAATACCTCAGAGCTATTATAAGGGCTAAAACTTGAAACGAGATGGCAAATATAGCCACAGGTGAGACATTTAGTATGGCCACAGCCTTTGTTAATTAGACCCTCTTTCTTCGCTCTCGTTCTTCTTTCATTGGAGTGTTGTAACTTAGAGGGAGCTAGAATATTTTTCAGGCTGGGAGCTTTCCTGAATGTGATCCTAGGGAATTCTGAAATACAAAAGGATAGCCAGGGATCTTTAGTCAAAATCGGCCAATACTTATAGAAAATCCCAATAATGTCATCAAAAGCTATATTAAATGTAGATGTAAAGATGGGTGTTGTGCCTCTACCCACCTCTCTTGTGCTGATATTATATTTTGCTTTCTTCATCTTGGGGACATGAGTATTATCCAGTAGATCTAGGATCATATGATGCTCATAGGTATTGGGCTCATATTCAGAATACACAGTTGGGAGGGGATTAGTCGTACTAGAAGGACCCATAGAACAGTTCCCAAGTGGAGCATTAACCTTATAATTGTGACCTTTTAAATACGCATTTAATACCTTATTTGGAGGATAAGATTTTTCAATAAAGCGTTGGCATAACACAAGGGACTCTTTCTCATAGTCAGACATGAACGAACAATTTCGTCTGATTCTAGTAAATTGTCCTAAAGGTATATTTTGTATCCATGTAGGATGATGGCCACTTTTAGCATGTAGATAACCATTCACATCGACACTCTTTTGAAAGGTTTTAGTAGTAATTCTTCCTTTAGTCCCGGTCAAAGTCAGGTCTAAGAAATCAATAGAAGACCTATGTTTCTTATAAGTAAAAGAGAGGCCCCATTGGTTATTATTGATATAAGTCATGCAGCTTTCTACTTCATTCCAATCACCTCTCCAAATAATAATGATATCATCAATAAACCTCCGATAGAAGGCGAGTCGCTCCATCCAGTGAGGGTTTGCGAAAATCATAATTTGTTCCCAGTGACCCATAAATAAATTAGCATAGGATGGAGCAAAACTCGCCCCCATCGCATTTCCCTTTGTCTGTACAAAAAACTTCCCATTAAACTCAAAATAATTATGTTTTAACATAAATTCCGTAAATTTAATAATGAATTCTGACTGTTTTACTGGAAGGAGAGGATCTGATTGTAAATATAGGGAGATGGCTTTTAGGCCCAAGGTGTGATCAATATTGGAATAGAGGGCTGCCACATCAATTGTTAGCCAGCCATACTGTTCTGACCACTCAATCTCCTTGATTAGGGACAACATATGTCCTGTATCCTTTAGAAAAGAGGGGAGATGTGGAACATATCTCTGTAAATGAAAATCAACCCACTTAGAAATGGGTGAAATCAGTGAGTTTAAACACGATATTATCGGGCGACCTGGAGGATTAGTGAGAGATTTATGCACCTTTGGGAGGTAATAGAAAATGGGAATCTCTCCCTGTGTTGTGAGGAAGAAACTTCTTTCTTTTTTGTCTATGGCCCCAATCAGAAAAGCCGATTCTATGAGGTCTCTCAATTCACCCCTGAATCGTAAGGTAGGATCATGTCTTAAAACCTCATAATAATCTCTATTTTCCAAAATCCTCTCAGCTTCCTTAAGATAATCAACTCTATCCAACAAGACAATCCCCCCTCCCTTATCCGCTCCTTTTATGATAAGGTTACAATTGGCTTTCAAGCTAGTAATGGCCGCTAATTCTGATTTATCCAGATTATTACACACTCGGTCCCTCTTCGTCTTGAGAGTCTCACAAAGGGCTCTCAAATCCTTCAGAACCAGTTCATAAAACATTTGAATGTAGGGACCTTTATCCACCTGGGGATAAAACATAGAGGGAGGTTTAAATCCAGATGGAATATTAGCCTCTATTATGTTTGGCACATCCTCACACTGCTGTGAGAGGTTCTCTTGTTCATCCAATAACGAAATTAAATTATAAAAAATTATTTTATCCTGTGGGGTATTAAAAATCTTAGGACAATCTTCTGGACCCTTAGACTCCCTGATGTTAAATGATCTTGAAACCGTTAATTTCTTAACGAAATGATTAAGATCTTTAAATAAATCAATAATGTTGGGTAGTCTATCCGGGGCATATTTAAGTCCTTTACTCAATAGGGAGATCTCCCCCTTATTTAGGGTATGATGAGACAAATTGAATAGACCTCTCATTAAAGACATCTCATTTTGGCCGGGCTGTTTCCCCCTTCCTCTCGTTCCTCTATGGGTACCCCCCTTCTCTTTTTGTTGTTCGTATTTTTGAAGAGAGGAAAAGTTCTCTCCTCTCTTGTTTGAGGGGGGAGTGACTCTAAAAAATCATCACAAATACTGTAACTGTTGTTTTTTCCAGGAGCAGTATGTTTAAATTTCGCACCTAGATCACAAGATGAATCAACCCCCCCCCCTATTTGTACTTTAAGTGTTTCTCATGCTCATAACCCAATGCAAGATAAATTCTCCAGTTATTGGGATTAACATTAACAATAATTCATGCAAGATGACAAGCATTCATGCATTATTATTTCAAAACCTCATTGCTGCAGAGGACTGCCAAAATAAAATGTCTTTATTTAAATAAATTATATTTTCTTAAAGTGACGTTATCAAATGTATTATTTCCAAATAAATTTTCCCAAGAGTATTACACAGTCATACACACAGTTTTAGTCATACACACAGTTATGGCCACACACAGGCAGTCAGTCACAGTTGCAGTCACACAGGCAGACAGTAACACACACAAGCACAAAGTCACAAACACAAGCAGACAGTCATACACACAGTTACAGAGACAGAGACAGTCACACACAAAGGCATACAGTCACACACACACACACACACACAAACACACAAAGTCACACACTCACATAGTTGTAGTCACACACAGGCATACAGTCACACACAGGCATACAGTCACACACACACACAGACAGTCTCACATACACAGCTACAGTCACACATTAAGGTAGACAGTCATAAACACATGCCATCATACACAAAGTTACAGTCACACACACAGTCACACACACAGGCAGACAGCCACACACAAACACATTTTCAGTCACACACACAGACATACAGTCACAAACAGGCAGACAGTCACACACAGTTACAGTCACACATAGTTGCAGTCACACACACAGTCATACAGTCACACACACAGGCAGACAGTCACACAGGCAGATGGGCACACATACAGACAGACAGTCACAAGCACAAGCAGTCATACACACAGTTATAGTCACACACCAGCAGACCGTCACACACACATAGTTACAGTCACACACACAGTTAAAGTCACACAGGCTTTGTCATGACAGACCTATGAGAGCTAGTTTTGGTTTTACAGCTCAAACTGCTTTTTCTATGGTATAGAGCACAGTCATGCTATTCTACATCTCAATCACTAGCCTTTATGCCTCAGTTGGAAAAACAGTCATACACATAGTTGCAGTCATACATAGTTACAGTCATGCTGGCAGACAGTCACACACATAGGGAGACAGTCATACACAAAGTTACTACTTTCTATTATGAGCTGGAAGACAGGTGTGGAGGCAATGCCACTAGTGGAGTAGTTGTTGGGGAAGAAGGGCATTCTTTTTGCTTCCCCCTTCCTGTGCAGCATCGAGTTCTAAGCATGTTTAACTCAACCCCTTCTGCCATTTTCACTTTTCCCCCGCTGCTCAGTAAGCCCTATCCCCACCGCTTAGTAAGCCCCACCCATGTTTGGAGGAGAATATTGACATCTGGGTGGCCAAACCTGCTTTAGCACCCACTTCACACCCGGCTATGTGTGAGCTGTGAAGGACACATGGCTCCTCCTGCTCCCATGGTGCCCTGTGCAGCTGTACAGGACGCACACCACTAAGACCAGCCCTGGGTGTGTCCCATCTATATATCCCAAGTAGGGCTGTTATATGCATTATAAAGAATTAAGCAGTGTACACAAACATATTACTAAAACTTGTGAATATGGTCTAAACTGTATTTATTTATTTTCGACTGCATAGATACTTGACACATTTCCTTAGAAGATATTCACCTCTGACTTCTCATGGGCACACACACTGAATATGTAATCTATAGCACTTTCCCCAGCCCCTTAAAGGAGCTAAAATGTAACCTAAGCAAAGGACTATTGAACTGTGCAATTATTTTTAACATAGAACATGGCTGAATGCCATAAAAACCTTGATGCTTAAAAAGAGCCAATCACCAGTGACCTGAGCAGGTGATGTAGGAGGTTTTCAGTTGGGAGTATCATCCAGTTGTAGGTGGTTGTTCCACTAAGCCAACAGCTTGCTTCCTTCTTAAGGAGGGGACATAATCTTGTACACAGCATTTTTCCAAATGATGAGGTGGGTCAGGAATCCCAATTTGTATAGGATCAACTCTGCTTGTGGTGTTCTATTGGCCATTGTGACAAAAATCAGCAAATAATTGGATGCCTACATACAGACCTGTAAGATGTGGCACGTTATGAACAGCCTACATGAGCCTTTCCTTTGCAGTAAAAATGCACTCTCACAATGGCATCTCTTGTAACTGAAGCTGGTAGGTTAAGTGGTTTTGACATCTGGTGCACTCTATCCACCTGCAATTCCTGGTCAGTGGAATCAGATAATAGTTATTGGATTGGAATTGGAATTATTGGAATAGTTATTAATGCTGGGTAACAGATCCCTCCAGGTCAGGAGCTTTTACATTTTCCAGAATGTCACACAATCTGATGTTGTTCCTGTGGGCCCTGTCTTCTAGGTCTGTATTCTTTTTATGCAGTAATTGAAGTAGGGTATTAAAGGCCATGCAGGAATCCACCAGGGTGTTATGTGCCTCAATTCACTCATCAGCCTTGGGCTCCACATGAACCATGCATTCTCCAATATCATGGAGGCCTCTCTTTAGTCTGTGGCTAACCTTTATAATTCTGACTGCATAGTAGTTAAAAAGTCTTCAAACAACTTTTGAATGTTCCCTTCTTCTAAAGGCACAGGTGGCTGCAATGAGATTGATGTTATCATCATCTTTGAGCCATTTACTCAGAGGAGACAAGCCCGAGATTTGCAAAGTTGGAGCCCTGTGTTTCAATTTGTGAGCTGCTCTGCTCACCATGACATGGTTGAGTGCTGTAAGTCCTCATTAGATTACTTCTGTTTTGTGTGGATTCACACTGTATATCAATATCTCTGATGGAACCTTTCTCTCACACACCTGGGGCGATCAGAGTCTTGGCCAAGCCCCCAAAATTTGACTTTTATGACTAGCCAAATAGGTTACATTCAGTTAAAACATTCAAATTGTGACAAATGGCATTTGGCTGCCATTTGACAATTAGTGAATAGATCCCAGTGTACATTTAGGGACTAGAGAGTGAATTAATGTAACAAGTTGTTTCTAGGCTGCAAATAAATACATCCTAGCAAGCAGATTAATCACTATAAGAGCTAAATCAATGTATGGCAACATTAAATTATAAAGAAAAGTTGCAACACTGACCAATATACTTCCCAGACATTGTTTTACCATCACACTCTCAATGAAAGCTAGTAATATCTATATATAAGCTCATTATAGTTTAGCAATTGGAAAACCACATGGGTGCAATCAACATTGTGGTTGCAAAATCACAGTGATGAGGCTATAACAGACCTTTATTGGAAGCCAATTAACCTCCAAGGTCTTGTTTTTCAGATGCCATGAAATATAATCCCTACATTAGATTGTAAATATTATTGCAAATGTTGTGGTCATATCTAGAGAATACACA